GAAATAATTTTTGTGTGGGTAAGACAGTGCAAGCTTGCATGAGAGAGCACAGGACAATAAGTTGATGTAATCTATGTCTTTTAATTCAAATAGAATTTAAAAATTAATTTGTATAGACTACTATTATGCATCCTATTCTCCTAAACAGCTTTGAAGTTTATTAAAATAGGAGATTATTAAAGGTTACGTTGGAGGTTTTTGAAGGTTTTTGTTGATCTTTTCATTTGAATGCAAAAGATTTAAAATTTGTGCCTGTGGTCAAAATTTCTCTCCAGATATTTTTCTAATTATTTATGTCTTTATCTATCTCTAGACAGAGATATTATATTCCTAAGCACACATGTGTCGTGTGCATGCACACAGGCACCATCTTTTTCCACCAAACATGTGATCCAAGTTCTAACTCAAAAAAAATCTAGGTTTTATTTTGTTTGTTTGTTTTTGTGGTGCTGGGGATTGAATCCAGGGCTTTCTGCATGGTAGCAAGCACTCTATTGCTGAAGCACATTCCTAGTCCCAAGGAAGTATTTTATATTTTTAGCTAATTAGACTCACTTTATTTCACATGGAAAATTCCAGAGTCCTTCTTCCATTCATCATGCCATCACTTGATAAAAATAAATGATTGTAACATAATTTCCTATGATCTTAGAAGAATTTCCAGGGAATAAGGTCTAGAATTAATTCTATTGGTTTTAACAGTTGAGGATATTGTTTTCTCTTACCAAAACTATGGTTTCTTGGCTACTTTTTGAAAGGCAAATTTTGAACACAAATTCCCCCGTTATAAAATATTTTTAACTTGTGGTTAGTGTTTTAAATTGGTACCAACAGAGTATGACTGCTAATTTATAGTACAAAATATGAACTATAGCAAACTAAGTGTGGACTTGTACATCAAACTCCTAAGATCTTATACATATTCTGTAGTGATATGAGCAGCTACCTTCTTCTGACTGAGGATTTTGATTGAAAACCATAAAGGATAGTATTTACAAAAAGGTCCATGGGGAAACTCTCTAAGGGAAAAGATGGTAAAATTATCAGGGTAGTGCTTGCCCAGATATATAAAATTCCACAAAGAAATGTTGGTATAATTAAGCATCATGTATTATTATAAATATATGTTATCATAGTTACATTCTATAATTTGTAATGGAAAATGAGGAGTGAAGATATTGATGGCATATAGGATACTAATGTACATCTGGAGGGAGAGGAGAAAACTTTTCAGTACAAGATGGTTTGCAATCTGTTCTGCTTAGTCGCACATTACCAAATGTGAATAGTTGCCAAAGAAACATGTGCTAAAGTTTTTGGAAAGCCTGGTTGATGAGCTGCAATGTTGGCCCTTTGTGTTTCAGTATGGCTGCACTGCATTACATTATGCCTGCAAAATGAAAAACCAGACTCTCATCCCTCTGCTCCTGGAAGCCGGTGCAAACCCCATGATAAAGGACAAGGTAAGGATCTGCAAACCTGAGTCTGAAGTTCCCCCTAGCAGCATAATCTTCTAATCCAGGTCTTGTGTTGAAGGAAATCAACCTCCTTTCATGTGAATAATGCTAAAATTAACCATTCTAAGGAAGAAAGGAGCTAGGCCACTCCTTTTAAAACTGAATGACCTTTAAAGGCCTTGCCAAGCCTGAGGCTCAGTCTAATCTGTTTACATTTGCATTGACATTTTATTCTATTGGAAATAAATAACTGAAGTTTCTTTTTCTCCTCAGAATGGTGAGAGCTCACTGGATATTGCACAGAGACTAAAATTTTCCCAGATTGAATTCATGCTAAGGAAAGCATTATAATCCTGTGACCTCAGAGATAGAGATACCAACAAAGTTAAAGGACTGCATTCTGTCTCCATCTTGGACTACTGGTCTGTGCCATTCCACCTGGGTACCTGGACTTAATGGGACAACGATGGCTGCCATAGTTAATGTTTTTGAAGAGCCTTTCATTTATAATATTTTTTACTCAGCAGAGTATACCATGACCACCATCTTTCTAGGGAAAACATTAAAGTTGTTGGTGTCTCCAATTCTGCCCCAAACTGATATTTCAAACTCAGTTTCTCCTGAGGAAGATCATCAGTGTTATTTGAGGTAGAGTTCTCTCCTCCCAGTTGTGTCAGGCTTGTGAAGAATCTATCCTGTCTATCTCATGCACTAAGAGACAAATTGTTCCTCTCAGGGTCCTTTAACTACCAAGAGGAAGAATCAAAGTATGTACATTTGTATAGAACCGTGTAAATGTGTGTGTGTGTGTGTGTGTGTGTGTGTGTGTGTCTGTGTGTGGCGGGGCAGTTTAGAGAGTCCAGTGTAAACATTCCTTGGATCAAAACAACTTCAATAAAAATACCTCTCAGTTGTCAGTGGTGGGTGTGTTTATACCTCAGATTAGCAAATGCTACAAAGCAGAGCTTCTTCCTCCCTGCTCACCCAGTACTGGTTTACCAGCATACCACTAGACATTTTGGTTTCAGTTTACAAACAAAAATTATCTTTGTTTGAACAGTACGTGGCACTATCAAAATATCTGTTCAGAAATATCTTTCTGGGACAAGGGGAGTTCAGTGGAAAAGTGTATGCTTAGCATGCATGAAGACCTGGTTTTGATCCCTAGTACCAAAAAAATAAACTAAAAATAAACTAAAATCCTCATGTAAATGTAAGTTGATTACTAAGCTCATTAGTATCTATCTATCTATCTATTTATTTATTTATTTATTTATTTATTCGGTATTGGGGAATGAACTCAGGAGGACTCTACCACTGAGCCAAATCCCCAGCCCTATTTTGTATTTTATTTAGAGTCAAGGTCTCACTGAGTTGCTTAGTACCTCGCTTTTGCTGGGACTAGCTTTGAAACTGAGATCCTCCTGCCTCAGTCTCCAGAACTGCTGGGATTACAGGCATGCACCACCTTGCCTGGCAGTGTTATTTATTTTATATTTTCATCGTGCTGGGGATTGAACCCAAGGTCTAAGCATGCCCAGTGCTGCACCCTAAGCTCCAGTTTGGCTCATTTTATTGATAAAATTTTAAACGTTGATGGAACTTATTCAGATGAAGAAATTTTTCACAAAAAATAGAAAAACATAATGAGGTGGTATCTGGATTGTATTTTTAAGTGAGATACTATGAATATCAAATATCTATTTTATTTCCTTTGTGAATAAGACAGAGTAGAAATAAATACACTTTTAAAATATGTCTGACTTAGGTATTGTGGGGCAACCAGCACCCTGCTAGGGTAGCTTCCTGCTCAGGAGGTGTGAACCTCCTGAGAACTAGAAAGTCTGAAATAATTAGTAAGAAATAGAGCCAGAGCCAGAAATTAGGTAGATTGGGGCACCTGATAGGTCTTCCAGTCCTGATAGGAGCTGGAACTGAACAACAAAAAATGGTCCCTCTTCTTTATTAAAGGGGGAGTACATCAGAGGCAGGGGTCAGGTTTCAGCAGGAGGAGACTTGCTTCTCAGTGTGTCAGGGGTCTTGCAATAAACAGGTTGATTGGCATTTTGTCAAGCTACACCCATTTTCAAGAGGCTGTGTGGTTCCAGTGGGTCATCTCATCTCCAAGGCTGTGCTGAACTTGTGATGGAGCTGGATAGGAAGCCACACGAACCAAACATTCTCAAACCAGCCACTGGGAGTTGCCACTGGGAGTTCCTGATTCCAGGCTTTCCTGCCTAATGGCTTCCACATCACTTTAGTTTATGCACAGTTCACAGATGGCTCTCGGCACGTAGGTATAGCTGTAGACATGGACTAAACCATACTATATTTGGTAACAAGTTAGTCTAAGGGTGAAAGATTTATTATCCTTGAACAGAACAAAGGTATAATAAAAAATCAAATCCAAAAAATATTTATTGAACTATGTACAGGCCCTGAGGGAAGTAGTAGTGTAGACATGATTATGAAGAATTTAAGTGTGACTTACATAAATTATTCAAGATTCTTTAGCATTGAACGGAGTTACCAGGTGAGCCTGGGGATGAAAAAAATGTAAATTTCACACAGCAGTACACTTTAAAAATTATACCTTCATCACACACCAATGTACTTTCAACAGTATACCACTGATGTACACAGTATATTTTTGATAGATTTCAGAGGAGATTTTTCAAAACAGCACTCTTTGAAACTGTGTAAAAATTGAACAGTTTTCTAAAGAAACAAATCTACCTTAGAATGAGTTGTAGAGACTAACAGTGACTTTCTCATGATCAAAATATAAGATACTGAACAATTTATTTCATTATGCGCATGACAGTAAAATATTTTCTTCCTTTCTTAATTATTGGAGGTAGAAAATTGGGCCAGTAGGTCTCCTAGCAACAGTCTATAAGCCCTCAAACAGGTATAAACTAGAATTGAGGGGCTGATATACACATATGTCCTATACACGAGCATTATGCATTTATTGGAAAACTCATAAATATCCTCCAGAATTATCTAATTATCTTCTTTAAGATATAACTATAAAGCATGGCCCTATTCTGAGGATGTTTAATATATTTTAATCACACTGTACCTTGATTTTTTGTTGTTGTTAAAGCATCCTGGCTTTCTTAGGTAGTACCCTGTCTATAGTTACAATGTGCAAATGTCATTTTATTTTGTCAAAGTTAACAATAATTCAGAAATTTGTGACCTCAATGTCTGTCCCAATTTGTCATTTTACTTGACTGCTTCAAAAATATGACTTACAGAAAAAAAATAAATGTTATAAGGAGGTTTCCCTGAATGATGTCGGGAATATAGAGATACTTTTTGGTTGTCAGGAAGAACCTACTCTTCAAGATGATAGAAAATCTAATAGCACAGAAAACCTGAATTTACCAAGTTAGTTTAGTTTAACTAATCGGAAAAAAAATTAAATAATGGTTTTAGTGCCAAATGCAAAAATATCAAAGAATGTACACTGTATCTCTGCCCTCTCTTCTACTTTTTCTGGAAATTCCCCTTAAAATTCTCTACTCTTGGCCCTAACCCCATAAGATTGTCCCCCAAACTTGTCAGTATCAGAGGCTTTACAGTGTGACCTTGCAAGTTCCCTGGGAAAGGTTGGTCTCCTCCTGCTTCATCAGATGTATGATCTCATTGTACATACGGTGAGGAGCATCCAACCCCCAAATGAAATCCACATGAGCCCATTCAGGAATGTTCTTGTGGTAGATGAGGTTGGTCACTTCAGAGAGCAGTGTCTTCACATCTTCTGGATTTGAAAGCCAGTCCTGACCTCCCGTCCACATCGCTGTCGGGACTGTCATATCTCGAACTTTATATTTCACAGGTGTTGGCTAGAAAGAAAGAATAGTTTTAACTTGAAATAGTTTTAACTTGAAATATTTGAACTTCCAGGCTCATAATTTATATTTCAAATAAATACAATAAACATGGCATGTATTGTGGTGAAAGATGCCTGGGCTTTAGAGCCATTGGAATTCCAGTTAAGAGCTTCTGGCTGGGGAGGTAGTTCAGTGGTAGAGCACTTGCCTAGCAGGCACAAGGGCCTGGGTTCACCCTCCAGTACATAAACAAACAAACAAACAAATAAATGAAAATTTTGTTCCAGCTCCTTACTTTAAGGTGAAATTACCTAATATCATTAAACCTGTTTCTTCATCTATGAAATGGGGATAATTACAAGATCAAGTGAGAAAACATTACCTTCAGTTTGTGGGTGATTGTGGTGCTGAGAGTGGTTCCTTAAGAATTTGGAGTCATAGACTAATTTAGATATAAAAGGTTGGAATATTCTATGGAGTCAGTCATATTTTTTTCTCAGGACCTGGTGTATGCCCTGCACACATTCTATCACTGAGCAACATCACCATCCCCTACACCTTATGGATTAGACATTGAATAACGTTTAATTATTTCCTAGTAAATATATTACATTTTAAAATAATGTCACTATTAGTGTTTAAAGATAATTTCACAGATGCTTCAACAGGCAAGAATTAGAAATATTCTACATAGAAAGGCAAGAAATCCTGCTGGGAAGGCCTCTGGATCCTCACAGAAACTAAATGATCACAAGCATCCCTTGGCACATGCCCAGCTTGACTGCATCTCCAAACACTTAGGGAAATCGCAAATTGGCCTCTGGCACTCAGGTAATTTAATAAGGTCAAGTTAAATGCCTGTTCTAACCCCAATTCCCTGTTCTGCTCAAATTATCCAAAGAAGGGTTATAATCTTCCTATTTCTTGGGAATTTCAAGCTGGGCTAATAAATATGCTTGGCAGTCTGAGTCCTTGAGATTAACTGGCATCCAGAATTTTCCATAGAATTGGCTCATTTCTTATCACAAAATTCACCATGGTATCCCAGCTCCAAACTTAGACACCCTTAAGAATTTAGAGTCATAGACAAATTTAGATATAAAAGGTTGGAATATTCTATGGAGTCAGTCATATTTTTTTTCATCCTACATGGAAAGAGATTGAACTAAATGTCCTGTCCAGGTCCGTGTTGCCCTGATTCTATGAACCCATTCTATGTGTTTTATTTCCTTTTCCTTCTATTACCATTTTCTGGTGTCTACTCTGCATGAATCATTTCTCTAGGACTCAGTCCACAAATGTTGATAAATTAAAAATATCTCAGAACAGTAACTCTTTTTCTAAAGACATATATATTTTTTTAAGGTAACAAGTAAAGAAGGATCTAAAAAGAAGTAGTTGATAGCTGATTGAGAGTTTGCTATCCAGGGATAACTCCATAATCTGTTCAGTTTCCTAGCATTTTCTGTCTAGATGGATGTATAGAATGGATGTTAAGTAGGATGTGAGTTTCTCAGAGTAAGATGAGGCTGTTTCCACTCTTCTCCTGTATTTTGTTTGTATGATCAATATTTATTTACCTTCACATCTATGCTAACCAATAATCCTCAGTGAAAGTTTAATGACCAAAATAGCCTCCTTATCCAATTCTGATCCTCACACTCCTATTTTTTATTTATTCCATAGCACTGGCTACATATTTGCTAGGTTACTAATATTCTTTTTCATATTTGTAACTTACAAGTTACAAATTCCTTAAAAGTGTAATCAGGAATAATTCTTAAGAATTTCTTAATCCAATAATTTAAAAAATATATATTTGGTGCCAGGGATTGAACCCAGGGTTGCTTAACCACTGAGCCACATTCCCAGCTCTTTTTATATTTTATTTAGAGACAGGGTCTCACTAAGTTACTGAGGTTGGCTTTGAATTTGCCATCCTCTTGACTCAGCCTCCAAGCTACTGGGATTACAGGTGTGCACCACCACACCCATCTTAGTTATTTTTTATTTTAAAGCTAAGTGAGTCCTGATGAATCAAAGCAGCTTACCCACTATCACACAAGCTTATACAGCAGAGGCAAGACTAATACAGGAATCCTCACTTGCCATTCTTTTTATTGTGTCATGCAACAACCTCATATTCCCATCCCCATCAGTCTGCTTGTTTTGATCAGAAAAGGATTGTTCTACTCTCCCTCCTAGACAATACTCATACCTAAACTAAATCTCCCTCATCTTGTTCCAGAGAGGCCCTGTGTCTTGCTCACAAGGAAGCCTTAGCAAAAATTCTTTCTATTCCATTCTAGAAGCCAAGAGGTCTCTTGGCTAAGCTGTGATTTTTTTTCCATTTTCAAATGGAGTCAAACATGAACTCTCATTTCCTTCTTGAACTCTTGTATTTTATTCCCACCCCTGAACTTGCCTATCATTGTAATTTCTTTCTCACACATTTCCAAAGGATATGTGTACAGCAGATGCTCTTTGTCTTTCTTACCTGATTGCCTTTCTCCAGATTTTTGGTCTCGCTCCCCCAGTCAAATGCTCGGAGTTCCCCAGAATTCACTGCCTAGGAGAGAAAAATTTACCAGATATTCAAATGTGGTGATGGGGTAGTGGAAATATGCTACTGTAACATCTGAAACTGTGAGAGAAATAGAGAACAAGACCCTTTGAGTTGCTCTTCCATTCTGGGATAATCTTTAAGAAAGTACAAAGGCAAGAACCGGACTCTCTCAGGGAAAGAGATGGACTGCAGAAACACCTGACCACCACATTAGCAACTCCAGGAAGTGCACCCTCAGTGTAATCCACGTGGGTAGGTATTTGACACAATTCTAGAGGTTACAATGGGAAAGTGCCCACCCCTGGAATTGTGCAATGTGGTGATTCTGGGAGATAGTGACTAAAGCTTAATTCAATTTAGAATTTTTCTTTGATTTTGATCATGCAATATTTTTCTACACACACACACACCTCACAGACATACACACAAAGAGCTTTTTCTTCTGAGATGATAGGTGAAGTCTACAGTGCAGTGGACTTCTGTGAAAATCTCTCTGGGCCCCTAGGCCCACCTGAGTATCTTTGTTTCTACTTGACTCTGCTGTTGGAGAAGCCACAAGGGGAATGTGGAAACATAATTTCTTCCAGGCCTGTCTTTGAAGTGGATAGAGACAGAGAAGTTTCTCACATAGGCCATTTTATTTTTAAGATCTTCTGCAGATGTCCTTAAACCATTCCTGTCCTTTCCTCTCATTTTCCTGATCTATATCAAGTCCACTATAGAAACATCAGTGACCAGATTGCATATCATCATGGAATAAACACAAACCCCAGAACTGTCAAAAGGGCATCCTTGGACTATTCCAGACAAAATGTGCAAGAGCTCTTAGAAAGATTACAAATTTAACATTCTCACCTGGCTCCAGTGTAAAATATTTTGCACAGATGTCCCAGCAGGAGTGTGGGCGACATACACATTTGCTCGACTCTGTAAAACAGCATGAGTGGTTTGTGAGACATGGAAAAACTGACAAGATATGTACCTTGTCAAGACCAAATCTCTATATAGAGACACCATCAAATTATTAGTAATTACCTATGAGACAGTAATGTACATATGCACATCAATAAAATATCACTAAATGTATTCTCAGGCACCTACATTTTTCATCTGAGAATAGCTTCTCATTAGAACTGACTTATTCACTTAAAAAATAATACTAGAGATATTTAGAATGAGGACTCTGGAATTGGGTCTAACTCTGCTGCTTAATTTTTAAATTTGGGCAAGTAATTTAACTCACTACATTTCAGTATACTAATCTGTAAAGTGAGGATACTGATAATATTTATTGCATAGGTTTGTTATTGGGAGTAGCAGCTGACACATAATGAATATCTATCAAATGGTAGCTATAAGTGAAATTATCAACTGAAAAACAATAAAGTTCAGGAATTAAAGATCTGTTCCTCCAGCTGCTGGCATTCCTCCAATAACTGTCCTGATTGGGATCACCCTGGCTTCTGAGAAGTGCCTGCCCAATGCCTCCCTCATTACAAGTGTGGTCTGCATTAAATGAGATTTGGAATATAAAGACCAGCCCTTTCCTCCCAACTTGGGACAGGGCTGAAGGGTCACCCCATCTTCATGAATCCCTGTAGAATCCACTGAGGTTTTTTCCTGAGACTGCATCAATGCTTCACATTTTCACCCACCAAATCTTGTGTCCTTCCTTCTCTGGGTGTTATCTCAAGAGCAGATCTCAAAATCATTCCACACAATAATCTCCAACTCAATTTGCCGCAGGAAACCCATCCTGTGACACTCTCCAATTGATAGCTATGCCTGAGCCAAGTTGAAACTCTCAGATGTCCCATCACAGAACTTAAACCAAAAAGACCCCAGTGGAAAGAAGAGGTGGATGACGCATGGCCATTTCCTCTATTGACTTCCAGATTCTAATCTTCCATCTGGAATCTAAGGTCAACCTTGCTTCAGCCCCTGCTGAAGCTTTGTAGAATTTCCTAATAATTTTAAAACTTAAAATAACTGGGTGCACATCTTTTCTCTTTACTGTCTTCACTGGCAGTAGTTCACATCCCCGGAGCGACACTAGTTATGCCCCGCTTTGCTTAGGAGACTTGGAAGACTAGGCTTGGAGACTAGGCTCCTACTTACCATGTTCATATTGTTCGTGTTAAATCCTCCTAGAAGTAGTATGATATTGCTACAGATTTGATCGAGGATCATCTGGCCACAAAGGTAAATAACAAACTGTCTGAAAAATCTGGTCTGGTACAGAAATTCTTTTTTGCCAAACAATCCCTGTGAAAATATGAAGTAAAATAGGAATCATTAAAGTATGGGCAGTAAAAAAACATTGGCTATAACTTAAAAGTTTATATTTTAGAAAATTTGGCTGAAAGACTCTTCTTCATACACAAGGGATTATCTAAGGTGTCACCTACCCTGATCATCATATCTGGCAGCAACAAAAATTTGGTCCCAGGGCTCTTTGCATATTTAACAGTGGCTATGGGTGCTAAAGCAAAATACATTTTGATTTTCTGAGCCAGCTCTGGCATCGTGGAAAATGCAATAAAGCCTGTAAGAGAGAAATACTTGTCATCATGGACACAAAATGTCCTAGAACCTGTAAAAAGGATATTTGTTAAAATATTTTAATAATTAAGTGTGATTGTGTCTTAATTATCATTCTATAAAATTATAAACTTCTGGCAGGGGCAACAGCAAAGACTCCTCTGTGTTTCTATGATATTTGCTTTCAATCAGTAAGTTCTCCATTGAATTATTGAATACACAAAAATTTTGACTTTGAGAAAAAATATACATGTTGGGGTAATTACATGCTGAACACTTTACTGGGAAAATTCATGATTCTTACCTCATCTAATTCCCAGAATTGAGCTTATTTTTTAAAAAATAAAAATCAACTTTATAGTGAAAGAAACAGAATTTAAGAAATTACCTTGCTCTGTAAGAGGTATGTTCTGTAACAATGAGCATAGGGGTCACGGGGTTTGGGTTGGTTTTCCTTGATCCCTAACTTTTCAGGAACCCAAACTGTAGCATAGTATGATAGACAGTTAATTGTCTAATGAACTAGATTCCATTTCTTATTTATGCCTTAAACTTGGCATAAGATCTTGGTTAAATCAGTCTGTGACTCAGTTTCTATATCTGTAGAATAGAGACAAATTCCTCAAAATTTAGGGAAGATCTTTATGGAGCCCATGGGAAAAAGAGAAATTACCTAAAGCCAGGATGTTGTCATTATATTTTAAATACCATGTGTCTGTTTTTAAAAAGCCTGCATAAGCTCTGCCTAGGGTGGTATTTGCAGTTTGAGGAATCAGCAAAGAATGCTGGGCAGAGAAAAACTAGAATCACATGCCTTCAGGCTAGTTCCTAGAAGGTGGATGAGCATGAGGAAGAGTCTCTTTCTCTACCTTTTACCCCCATCTGATTAGGTTTGGCAGCCACATGCAAAGAAAGGCAGGCACAGAAGTGACATGTTTTTACCTTCTGCTCTCTCAGTGATACCATCAGCAGGAATGGGTGGAAATACACAAACTACACCCCACCTTAAGCCTGAGCAATGTCAACATCTGAGAACTCTAGATAACCCCTCCCAGCACTACCTCTCTGTATGCAAAGCATGTTCAAGTTCTCCATATTAACAGCTCCATGGTTTACCACTTGAAAAACCTTATGCTTTTTTACCCCTTCTTTCCTCTCAAAATAGCACCTAGCCTTGTCATCAGCACCTTGCCTTCATGTGAAATTGAACGCTGGTAGTGTGAAGCCTGGTGAATCACATCATCCTCAATGGATTCTGACAGCAGCATTATGATTTACACAAACAAGAGAGAATCAAATAAAAATAATGAATAAATAGTGAATTATTCTGCAATGCTTACTCTCCTTTGGAGTCAGGTTCATCCTGTGTGGTAAACTACATGTGCTCTCTGTTTAATAAAAGTCAGTGACCAGAGGATGTGGGCCATATGTTTTTTAGTCTTTGCCAACCAGGTTTGTCATGAGTCTCAGCCTCCTTTCTTAGGATATATTTGTCAGGGCTAATCAACTTATAGCAGAGATCCAAATAATTTGATACAGAAGGGGCTTTCTTAGAAAATGTTTGCCTTACATATATATTGGATTTCCCCCTTTTAATTGTGGTTCCTTTTTCCTTGAAACTTCTCAAAGCGAGTATGTAAACTACTTTATTTTCCTTACTTGCTTGAGGACAGAGCCCAAACCTGAGTAATTTCATAGAAAGGTAAAGAGGCCACTATTGCTTGAAGATAAAGAGCCAAAGGTGAACTCGTGGCTTGCTGATGATGTTTAATAGTCATTGTGAAAGATTGCAGAAGCAAATCACCTGGCAAGTCAGCATCCACAGACAAAGTGACAGAATAGACCACTGAGGTCTCAGAAACATGGTTTCAGACTGATGGCATGGTACATTGTCACATCAAGGGAACAATAAGCAACCTTCGAGTTAACTAAAGGCTGGTTGAAGCATCCCCACTACTGGCCTGCATTCATAAGGCTTTCAGTATGATGACGAACCTATCATCCTAGAGGTCATCTATTTTTGTTTTTTGGAATAATTTGACATTAAGATTGTCTCTGGAGGTGGCAGTAAAGACTCTTATAGGAGTTAGCAATGTGTATATAATTCCTACTCACCTTATGGACCTCACTGCACAGTGATTATTTAGCATGAGTTTTGAGTACATGGGTACAGGCCCTGGCTTAGAGCCTACTGTATAAGCACTTGTTTAAGCTCTTTCAGTGAGCCACAAATTATTTATCTATAAAATAGGGATACAAATCTTTCTCACATATTGTTGTGCAGAGACAAAGCAAAATGATGCATATGTAAGGGGTGGCAGTTATTAAGTGTTCACAAAAGGCAATTATTTATTTATTTTAGGGGGTATCATGTATTGAACCCAGGGGTACTTGGCCACTGAGCCACATCCCCAGCCCTATTTTGTATTTTATTTAGAGACAGGGTCTCACTGAGTTGCTTAATGCCTCAATTTTGCTGAGGCTGGCTTTGAACTTGCAATCCTCCTGCCTTAGCCTTCTGAGCCACTGGGATTACAGGCATGCACCACTGTGCCTGGAAAAAGGCTATTATTATTATTATGAAGGCTTGCATGATATAAAGATGATATTAAAATACAGATACCAAAGGAGGCCCAAAATTAAATTGTTTACAAAACTATATATTTCCATAATAATGAGTATAAACCTTATCCTGGTGGCTGGACCCAGCTGTCCTGGTTAAAGAATGAGTATTACTTACAGTAAGTGACTGCTCACTTTTCTCCTTAGAAAAGTGTACCCTGGCCTATATCTTAGGGTTTGGCCTCAGGATGAGGGGAAAGAGATCTCTCTCTGGAAAGCCACCTCCTCACGTCACATGCCATGCCTCCTGAAATATTTCTGCCTCCTAATATAAGCCTATCACACTTCACTTATTGACTTTGATATGATAAGGAGCTAAGATGACCACAATCTCCATCTCCCCAGGTAAGTGTTCTGAATCCTATGGGCCACCTATTAAGTCTTTCACAAAATCATCCAGAGCAAAAGGAGAGTAGACACTGATTTTACATACATCATCATATCGAGTAGTCCAACAGTTCTAACACTGCTAAGAGGGAGTTATTATCCCCATTTTGTAGATGAGGAAACTGGGGCCAGAGGAGTTAGAGAATCTGCTGAAGGATATTTAGGTATGGGTTGGCAAAGACAATATTTTAATCCACATCTCTCTGATTTCAAAGCCCTTGCTCTTTCTACCATACTGCATCCCTCCCTCAATTCAATTCCTGTTCCTCTCAGCTCAGTTTTAAAGAGAAAACCATCCAATCAGAAAGAAGTATGAGGGAGTGAATCCAGGCACAGCTTGTGCCAAAGGCTCATGTCTCTTCTGAGCATACAAACCTGATGGACTTTGAACCTACCCATGGTGGTGCCCTGTGAATAGCCGACATAATAGATCTTTTTCTGGCCCGTTTTCTGCAAAATAAAGTTTATCACTGCAGGAAGGTCAAACCTAGCCATCTCATCGTAACTACAGGGGAAAAGACAAAGTTATATGAAAAATTATGATCAGATACAGACAGAATCACTGCCCCCTCCCAGGATTTGCAAATAAGCTCTTGACTGGTGAGCCCTGATAGCTCATCACTATGCCACTCAGATGGACTTGCTTCAAACTTGCCATCCATGGATGTCACTGGGGTTACAGGCTGTCAGTGAACCTCTCTGCTTTCTCCAGATGTTATCATAGAACAATGATCATCAGTGAATATTTATTTGAGCACACGATCCACCTCCTAATGGAGGGGTCCTCTTACACAGTTAGCAGATCAGCAGCAGGTCATACAGATTCCTTTATAGGAAACATATTAAAGACATGGCAGGAACTCTTTGATGAAATGTATAAAGAGAAGGTTGAATATCAATATATAATTTGGGTAAAAATAGTAACTATTTAGGCCATGAGAGATGTTAATCAAATCAATGGCCCCCAAGGTATAACAGTCCCCCCACTCCTTTATATGCCACCTGGTCTCTTCTCCTTTTGGGGGGCACTCTCCTTGTTATCATTTATGGAAGCCAGTCTCAGGATACCCACCTACAAGGAAATGGGTCTACACGTCTCTCATTCCAGCCTCAATCACCTGACACCAATGAGCATTTTCACTCCATTAGCCAGACCCAACCTTCTATGTGGGGACCCAATATTCTCCATCTCCCCCAAAGAATTACTAGTGAATTAAGAAAATTCAGGATTATCATATTAGGATATTGATGACACAACCAAAATGAATTATCCAGAAACTAGAAGCTATAATTTTTTTTTACCTAGTGCTCCTGAAGACATCCATATCTACCTTCCTCCATATACCTGAAAGCCCAGAACTCATCTTGCTCTATAGAGAGGGTCTTGTGTTTCCGAGACCAGGTGTTTCCCCTGCTGTTCCCCATCCACACATCAAAACCAGCATCGGCCAGAATGAAGCCCAGGCTGTTGTTGGGCAGGTTGGAAATCCAGTTGCTGGCATCTCCAAGCAGGCCGTGCTGCAGGAGCACCACTGGCCTGGAACCTGCAGTCAAGAGAAAATTCCACATGTGTAAAGTGCTCTCTGCTCTTCTTGTTATTCCCTAGTGTGCAAGGGCTTTCAGGTCAGACAAAACAAAAAATTATGAAAGGCTATGATCAGATACAGACAGAATCCTGATTCAGCTGCTTGATAGCTTGATTATCTTGGCCCATTGCTAAACACCTTTGTGTCTCAATTTCCTCATCATCAGTAAAATGCTTCTTTTTAATATTGAATATGATCAAGCACAAGGAACAGATGGCATGATGCCTGGCTACCCCTCCCCCAAAAAAACTCCCAAAAAAGAATAAAATTCAGTTTCCATTGTTGTTTTTATTTATTTATTATTACTGGAGTTGTTTGTGCTCCTCAGAAAATATTAGAAGTGCCCCCGTAGAGAGTATACTATACATATATATTGAGTAAGGGTCCTTCATGTCAAAAGGAACCTCAAGCCAGCTTGAAGGAAAATTTGAGCATCAAAATAAAGTTATAGTAAGGAATGATATCTATATAATAAATGTATAATAAATTAAGAATAGCCCAGAGAGGCAAACGGGATCTACAGGAACAATATCAGCCACTGGGGGGGGGGTGGGGATTGTTCCTCCAACTGGACTAGAAGGCTGCTCCCTTGAACCCCAAGCTGTTCAGCATTAGTCAACTCATACCCTGAGTCAGGGTATGAGAAAGCAAACTTGATCCATGAACGGGGCTGCAGGATGAACCCCATGCTTAGTAGTTGCTAATTAATTGCTTTAAAGTGGCATGCCTTGCTCACCTCTCAGGATCTGTGGGGCTTAGTGAAAAGTTCTCTCCATGTTCCTAGGCAACTCATTTTTTTCTTTTATACATAATCCATTCATTCTTTTAAAAGATATTTATTAGCACCTACAATGTGCTCAATAGTCTTACTGCCTTGGAACAAAATAGATGAAGTCCCTGTTCCCACTGAGTTTACACTCTGGTAGGGGAGAGACAGATGATACACTAACAAGCAATTATCTGCCATATTAGGGAATATTAAATGCTGGAAGGAAAAGTAAGCCAGGTAAGGGGAGAGCTGTGACTAGATGGCAAGGGGTTGCTGTTTTGAGAAGGCAGATCAGGAAAGAAGGGTCTGGGCAAGCTGCATAGACATCTGATGGTCCAAAGTGAGAACTTAAGTTCAAAGGCACTGAGGTGGAAACATGTTGGACATACATAAAGTACAACTGGGTCTCTAGTGTAAAAAAGGAGTTGATTTTCAAAAAATAACATGAGTAAAAATTGGAACAAAACAAGAACCCTGAAGCTTATTTATTCTGAAGGCCAACAGTGTTTCCCAGTATTTTCTGATTCTAGTTAAAAACAAAGGCTACACTGGCAAACAGATCTGGATCTGAGTGCAACATTCTAGCAAGTGCTAGCACAGACTTTCTGGGAGTGACATAATCTCTGTGAGTGGCAGTTTCTTAGGGTTATGGTGAACCTTAAATGATAGTAAAGCATTTACTATTGTACCTGGTATATAATAAGAACATAAGAAACGATATTATCTAGGCTGGGGTTGTAGGTGAGCGGTAGAATGCTTGCCTCGCATGTGTGAGGCACTAGGTTTGATCCTCAGCACCACATAAAAATAAATAAATAAAATAAAGGCATCGTGCATGTCCATCTACAACTAAAAAAAAATCTTAAAAATATATTTTTTATTTTTTGGGTGGTGATCCCAAAACCATTTTCTTTTTTTTAATTGGTTGTTCAAAACATTACAAAGCTCATGATATATCATCTTTCATACATTTGACTCAAGTGGGTTATGAACTCCCATTTTTACCCCAAATACAAATTGCAGAATCACATCGGTTACACACTCACATTTTTACATAATGGCATATTAGTGACTGTTGTATTCTGCTACCTTTCCTATCCCCTACTAAAAAATATATTTTTTAAAAACAGAAATGATACTATCTGTAGATGTGACAGATAATGTAGGTACTGCTGCAAATAAAGAGCTAGAGTATTAAAACAATGAGAGCCAAATAAAATGGGAGATGAGAATATTTTAATTAGTAATGAAGATGAATTTTTTAAAAGCCACTATTAGTTGAGCATCTCACAAATTAAAAAAAAATGAAATGATACAAACTATACAGATATATCAAGAATTAAAAATGTGTATACACAGCTTGGTTCTTAAAATGTCCTTAGTGAAAACTGAGGCAATCAAAAAACTAGGAAAGGAACCACCATCTGACCTAGATATCCCACTCTTTGGTGTATATCCAAAGGATTTAAAATCAGCATACAGCAGTGACGCAGACACATTAATGTTCACAGCATCTCAACTCAGAATTGCTAAGCTATGGAGCCAACCTACTTGCCCTTCAATAGATGAGCGGATAAAGAAATTGTGGCATATGTACACAATGGAATACTATTCAGCCATAAAGAAAAATGAAATTATGACATTTGCCAGTAATGGATGGATCTGAAGACTATCATGCTAAGTAAAATAAGCCAATCTAAAAAAGAAAAAACAAGGGTCAAATGTTTTTTCTGATATGTAGATGCTAACTCACAATAAGTGGGGGAGGGGAAAAACAGGAATTCAGTGGATTAGACAAAGGGGAATGAAGGGAAGGGAGGGGAGATAGGAAAAGAAAGGACAGTGGAATGAATCTGACATAATTTTCCTACATACATTTATGAATACACCACAGTGAATCTCACTATTGTGTACTACCATAAGATTGGGATCTTAATTAGAATTATACATCTCCCATGCTTGTATAATATACCAAAATGGATTCTGCTGTCATGTATAACTAAAAAGAACCAACAAAACAAACAAAGGAAGAAAAATGAGGAGACATTTTAAATATTTAAAGTGCTCTTTGCATGGGGGAATACAGCTTATAAATGTGAGGTGGTGAGCGTGGTAGAGTTTCCACTCTTTACCGGTATGGGTTGGTGAGGTTCAAGGGATCATCATTGAATATTCTAGAACATTTATACAGGAGGACTTTGGGAAAAGAGTTAAGTGCTAGAAGAGGTGAAGAAATGGATTTTTATTGAAGGTGGTTTATTTTGTTTTGGATTTTGTTTGTTTGTTGGTGCTGGGGCTCAAACCTAGGGCTCACACATGCTAAGCACATGCTCTACCACTGAACTAACCCCCAACTCAGTCTATCGGTGTTTTTTTTTTAAAAAAGCAAACACTGTATGTTTACTTGAAATAACTGATGGGTGTTGAGTGGGATAGGGTGGTGGTGATGGAGATTCTGGGGAAACTAACATCATCCTTTGACCTGACTGATGGTTACCTGGCTGCACTAAGAATCCTGACGTCTACAAACAGAAATCATGAGGAAGTCGCAGGTACAAGGAAGCTGCTGTGTTGGGGTGACACTGGGCCAACCATACCTTTCTTCTTAAGTGATAGTAGGCCTTGAGGAATTCTGTTAATGGAGAGGATATACCCATCTTCAGTTGCAACTTCATACTCCTCACAGGGATAGCCTTTATGGAGGATGATTTCGCTCTATGGAAAAAACACAATTTATTTCTGAATTCAGCTCTATATGGCTGTACTCGCAAGGATTCAAAAGTAAACGTTGATTCTCAGATGCTGAAAGACAGATTAAAAAAAAGTCCTTGATTTTCCCAAACCATGTTACCTCAAGAAAACAAGAAACGGCCAACCTTCTCCAGTGCTCACCTTTTTATGATGCTGGGGGTTGACCCCAGGATCTCAGCCAAGCTAGGCGAGAGTGCTCTACCATGAGCTACATTCTCCCTCACTTTCTTTATTTCTAATATGGAACCTGGACTGAAGTGATGGTTCTCAAAGTGTGGGCCCAAAGCATCAGCATTACTTGGGTACTTGTTAGAAATGCAGATTATCACATTCCAACCAAACATCCTGAATTGGGAACTCTAAGATAGGACCCAGTCATTTTTGTTTTAACAATCTTTTAAAGGAATTCTAATGCACTCTATTGTTTGAGAAGCACTGGATGAGAACACTGATTCCAAAAACCGAATATGCGTCAGAATCATTCAGGGCATCTAAGCATACAGATTCTTGGTTCTACTTCAAGTTAGAAATCAGGTGATTCTAATACAGCCAGCAGGGACTTATTCCAGAACAATTTATGAGAATCCCTGGGCCATGCCTTTCCTAAGGTTCTTTCCAGTTCTAAAATGACATACTCAAGAGCAGCGATTCTTAACAAGTTTAAAGAGCCCTTATGAATTCAAGGCTTTAATGATATACACATGGACACACAAAAATGTATTTGCATATAATTTCAGGGGTTTCAGATCCTTGTTGCCTATTTATGGGCTCCTGGTTAAAAGTCCCTACTCCATGGATTGGTTATGTGTAGAAACCTCTTTGTAAAATAGGAAGCTGCAGAGATCACCTAAGCATCCTCACTGTTCTTGCTCACTGTCATCATCCAGAGAAGCAGAGAACTATTTTTTTCAAGGATGCTTTAAAATGAGCAAGAGAAGAGAAGCCAAGTGCCAAATGCCTGACGTAGAATAGAGCATGGTCATTAACAGGAAAGCCCTTTGGTCCTACTGTTCAATATTTAATCCTGACTCTAACATTAATACAAAAATTGACCATATGATCTTGGGAAATTTGATTAAATTGTTTTCATTTTATTCACTGTTGGTTCATACTACATAATAGTGCTGTAAAAAGATAATAAACATATAACACTAATTAGTAGTATGTCCTCAATTGATATTGGCTGCTACTGTAATTCAAACTTAACCATATCTTATGGAATGTAGGATGTGTGTGTGTGTGTGTGTGTGTGTGTGTGTGTGTGTGTGTAGCACCATTGCATACTTCACTTTTAAAAATTTCAGCATGCATCAGAATTACTTACCTTAAATCATTAATTACTTAGCATTAAATCATAAATTGCTGGACTCCACTCTCAAAGTTTCTAATAGAGTCAGTAATTCCAATGACATTTCTTTTTTCTTCTTTTTTTGGTACTGGGAATTAAACCTATGGGCTCTTAACACCCACGTCCCCAGTCCTTTTTATTTTTTGAGATAGTGTCTCCTTAAGTTACCTAGGGCCTCACTAAGTTGCTGAAGCTGGCTTTGAACTTTCAGTCCTCCAGGATCTTAAGCAGCTGGTGTCCAGGTGTGGGCCATTGTGTCTGGCCTCAATGACATACGTTCCCAGGTAATGCTGATTTTGCTGGTCTGGGAACTAACATTCAAGGATCACTATTGGAGACTACTTAGGGAGATAAAATAAATATGTAAAACATCAGAACAGAGAACTGTGACAAGTGTTTATTTAGAGGTTATTTTTCAATGAGGGTTGAGAGATGTGAGTGAAGGAGAGAGTAAAGGAATCGTGAGCGGGGAGAGCGTCAGGAGCAGGGCTAGTCAGGCAAGGCCCTGTGAAGGAAGGATTTCAGCTGGACCTTGAGGATTGAAAAGAAGTTACTCAAGGGAACTGAGGAAGTAAGCATTGTGGGCGTGGGCATCCCAGCCTCAGTGAACACTGTTTACAGATAGTCAACAGATGCATGATAGTAGTAGAACATACCTTTTTTAATATTTATTTTTTAGTTTTAGGTGGACACAATATCTTTATTTAATTTTTATGTGGTGTTGAGGATGGAACCCAGCGCCCTGCGCATGCCAGGCGAGCGAGCTACCGCTTGAGCCAAATCCCCAGCCTAGAACGTAAATTTGTGGGCATAAAAATACAGGCCCAGCATAGTCTGAAGGATGGGATACTGCTTCTCAACTTGCCAGTTTGCATAACCATTTTTGAGGGTAGTTCATCAATATATGTACATATTTTTAAACTCTAAATATTTAACTTTTTAATTTAATTGTAAATTCACAAATTAGAACTGTATTTGACATTTAACTTCGAATCCCATTGTCCATTCTTCAAAATTTAACTTAAGGAAAAAAAATCAGAGATATATATTAAAGCATAATGATAAGGATGTTTATGCCAGCATTATTTATAGAAATAAAAAATTATACTGGGACATTGGTTAAATAAACATTCTGGTGGATGCTGAGAAGCTCTTCCCAGATCTCCCTTCCTTGAAGCACTTGTCCTATGTGCTGTTGTCAGCAGAGAGCCTTGGCTGTCACCCTCTTAAGGGATGGCCTCAACTGTAGAGACTCACTTTTTTTCAAAGGCACCTCCCTTCCTGCCACATTCAAAGACTGATTTGTTTGGGGCACAAAGACTGGGCATCTCAGTCCAGATGATTCTAGTTCTTGAGCTCCCCAGGGGGGTTTGTTGAGGCTATTTCAGAGTCCAAATCATAATGCACACTCTACCCATTCCTGCTACTCCTTTCCACAGCTGTTGATCCCAAGGCGCTCGCTCTCCCTCTCTCTCTCTCTCTCTCTCTCTCTGGTGTGTGTGTGTGTGTGTGTGTGTGTGTGTGTGTGTACGTGTGTTTGAGACAGGACAGGGTTTCACTCTATTTCTGAGACTGGTCTTGAACTCATGTACTCCAGTGCTCCTCTTGCCCCAGCCTCCCAAGTAGCTGGGACTACAGGTGTGCACCACTGCACCCATCTCTAAGGGTTCTCCTCAGAAAACAACCTGAACATCAATTCGGCCTTACAGTCTGTCTGCTCCCCCGAGAACCTGAGAAAAATATACACCCTCCCCCGACAAATGGAACTTCATGCGAAAAGCTGGAATGATGTGCTTAGAAGGATATTTAAACTCTTTGGGAAATTCTCATGACATAGATGAAGTAGAAAAAAGGTTAGAGAACAGTCAATTGCATGGCACTCTTCCTCCTTGCTTGAGATAGCAGAAAAATCCGTAGCTTTTAAAGAAAACAAGAGCATATATGACACAGTTGTTAGTGGGTAGTCTTGGGTCCAGGGTCTGTTAGTGATTATTGGTCTCCTTTGCATTTTTTCAGATTTTCTATAATGAAACATATTATTTTGTAATAACAAAGGATCTCAGTGTTTAAAAGCCAACTCACCAGAGCCTGTCTTCAACTCCTTGAAGATGGCATGTTCCCAGCTGCTCCATCTCTCCCACATGCTGACCTCTCAGCCACCACCCTCTTACCTAAGTCCTCTTCATCCTTCAGATGTCAGGTGAGAAACCCTACTTTAGCAATTTTCTTAAGCTTCCTGATTAGTTTCTTCTGTTTTATGTTTTATTCTTTGAATTCATTATTCTCCTAATTAGTAACTGATAGTCTTTCCTGCTGGGTTGTGAGCTCCATGAAGTCAAGGCTTTTGATATTCTGAGATCTCTGTGACTTCAGTGCATAGCACCATATCAGGTGTCTAGTAGGTGCTCAATAAACACTTGCTAAAAATATACATGAATGAAGCCAGTTGTATAGACTACAACCCATATTTATCAGGATACAGAGTCAAAATCAATTCAGATTCAACTATTTTTATTCTATTGATGAATTTACACCAATAATTATATAAACCTCCTGCTCAATGGCAGAGAACAATTCAATGGGTTTTATTCTTAAGAAATCCTTCTTGAAGATCCAGTAGTATGGGGAGAGCTAGGAAGATTGTCTTTGTTGGTAGTCAAAGAAATTCTCTTTACATATAAACCAGAGGACTCTGTACAGGACAGTCTCAGGGCCCAAAAATGACTCCCCAAGGGTTTACACTAATATATTTACTATTTAGACAAACCATCTGTCAGTTATTGGGATGGTCAGAAGGAACCTGATAGTTAGCAGACTCAGAATATTTCTACTGCCTGTCAATTTTAGAACTCACAAAAATAGGTTTTTATAAAAAAGAGTCTTAAACCTACAAAAACATATGTTAAGTTTCTTCTTTCTGGGAGGAATTAGATGAGTTCTTGTTGTGGACATTGCACACAATCATCTCACTCATCTGGAGGTAGCCCCTCCTCCTCCTCCTCACCTAGGAGGGTTTATTGTTTATTGCATGCACCGTGGTTATAATTATAGGCTTTGTAAAGGTTAGGCGGGCCCTGAATTTAAATTGTAGCTCTGCCATGTACCAGTGTGGGGCCTTGTTTAACTTGCTTAACTTCTTTAATCTCAGTTTCTTGATTTGAAAAATGTGCATGATGTTATCTACTGCATAGGGCAGTAAAGACGAAATAAAATCATATCTTTGTCACTTTTAACACAATGTCTGCTATGGGATAAGGGTTGGAATTTGAAAGTAAGCTACAAAAAAATTCCCTGGGAGATGTAAAGAGGTGTGTCATTATTCATGCCTTTCATTCACAGGAGGCCTTCTCCAGAACTCAGAGGACCCTCTTATTGTCATCAACAGAGTTAGCAGTCCAGAGCAGGGTGAAAAGCGTAGATTAGGATGGTACCAGATGCTACCAGAAGTAGGTGGCCCGGTAGCAAGAAGTCAGGGCTGATACCTTACATTGTGGGAGAAAGTGGAAAAAGAATAAAAGCACAGACAAAATGGGTCAGGGCAACCAGGGGTCTGAGGTGGGCCCCAAACACCTCAGTTACTTCTTGCTCATAGGATGAACCTAAGAGTTAAAAGATAAATTATGTGAAGCCCAAAGGAAGGAAACTGTTCACCCAAGTTTACTGAATTGGTGGAGCCCCAGGTCTACTGACACCCAGTGTAGCCTTCTGTCCAGCCCGATTACCTATTTTACCACTGGGCCCTGCTAGCATGAATCGCCACCAGATATAAATATATGATACACAATGCAGATATCACACAGATGATACATGAACACATAGGTCACTCCACTTCCCCAAAACATTATGAAAAACCCCGACTTACAACATTCATGAATGCTTCTGGGTCCACAGCTTTAGTAGGCATATGTCCTGAATTCACATTTCTTTGGAACAAATACGCCACCAGAATGAGAAGCCACATCTCCACTCTGTGTGAAACAATCCACACTCTTGACAAGATTTCTGACATGGTCCAACATCTGCATTTATTTTAAACAACTACATCTGAAGTCACAAGAGGGATCTACAGATTTCAAAACCCTTTTATATATTTCCCAGCTACAATTTCTTCTCCAAATGCTCAAGTGAATTGAACAACTTAGTTCACAGGACAGAGTAGACTGGAACTGCCTAGGATGTCCCAACACCATTTGGCTCCTCCCGCTCCTCCCTCACACAACTTGTAATCACCAATCCTTCAACTTCTAGGTGTGTAGAATTTGCTTTGATGCCACCCAGAGTTTCAGGCATATGATACAGCCCATAAAATCCCTGTTCTTCATCACTGGGTAATAAGGACCGTAAGGAGCACCTCCCCACAACCCAGTTTATATTTTTCTTTTACATGTAGCAAGATCTGGAGCCTGCAGAGAACATTGCAAGTTTCTGTAGTCACATTCTGTAGCTTCAATGATTACTGTCCTTTGTTGAAGAATAAATGTAGTGAGAAATACTTTTATTTAAAATGTCAAAAATCACAAAGCATTTTCTAAATTTTAATGATGAGTGAGAACATTGAGTGAAAGAAAACAAACAAATCTATATTTTAGTCCATTCTTGTCTAGTTCAATTAAATAGATATAAAATTTTCAATTTGGCTTGCAATCACTAGCTAATTGCCGAGAGATTGATACCTAGTAATTAAATCATCTGCAATAAATGAAATGGTGAGTTACAACCTAGTTATTGCCATGAACTGAAGTCCCAGTGCAATTGACTGTAAGGCAATCTGAGCAATTCCTGGACCAATTAATGATTGAGCAGCTAGGAAAGGAGATTTGTTTGTTCTTTTAAGTAAAGACGTGTTAGATATTAGCAAAAAAGATTCAAGTGAAAGATTTCTCTACTTTTATATCAACTCTTCAGAAATGAACTAACAGCAGCCATGCCAATTTGCAGACTTTGGGAATGTGGTGGGTGAAGAAGCCGAAGCTGGAACCGGAAAGATGAGTTTGTGAGTGTCTGCCCAAGTGACTCAGGCAAGACGCCCAGGGCTGGCTGGATAGGTATGAAAAAGTGAGCCTGCCATTCTTATCTGGACCCATCTGAACATCCCCATCACGGTTGATCTGTTGCATGCTACTGAGAAACAATTCGACCTAGTTAGCAAAGCAGAGAGATCACTGTCTAGTTCCACATAGCCCCTGTCCTCAAAACGACTGAGTTCTTCAGGCAATTATGCAAAAGAACTTGGCTTCCACTGTTGACATTTCAAAGATTTTAAAATGCTATATAGCCAAAAAGAAAATAAAATCTCATTCAGTTTTCATTTTCAGAAATGTGAAGATACCTTGAATGACTTGTTTGATATTGCCTAGATGGTGGCAAGACCCAAGTCAAAATTCAGGTATTTTAATTCATTGTTTAGTATCATGACCATGTAGAATGTCATTTCAGTGTCCTCTTTCTCACTCATGGATGATGTCTCATCTAATATTAGAAAGCCATCACGTCACTCTCTGTGAATTATTTCTTGAGGTTCTCTTCTGGATTTAAAAATTCAGAATAAATCTTGATTTCATTTTAAATTTAAATTGGCAGATACAATCTATGCATATTTGCTCTAGTATGTTCAGGTAAGATCATCTCCTACATGAGATCAATGTACTTGTAAATACTGTAGAAACTTATTCATGAGAGAGTTGATAGCAATAAATTGATTCAGGGAAAAAATTCTGTTTGTTTTTTTTTGCAACGAGATTACAAATTCCCCTTTAACCCCCTCTCCCTTCGATTTGAGTTATAGGCTAGAGGGCTTTCAAGTTGGTGCTGCTTTATGTAAACCCGGGTGTTGAAACGAGTTTTATTAAAGCAATTCTTTCAGGTTTTACAAACTGCAACCATGAAGCCAGTGGGAATGGTGCCACTGAGCCAATCTGAGAGAGTCAATGCTCTTGTCGCAAACACTATATGATCAAATGGCCAAAATATTTGGGTGGAGTCAAACTCACACCTCACTCCTTGCCCTTTGTTTATATTTAATTAGAGACAGGATCTTGCTGAGTTGCTTAGGGCCTTGCTAAATTGCTGAGGCTGACTTTGAACTCGCAATCCTCCTGTTGCAGCCTCCAGAACTGCTGGGAATATAGGAGTGGGCCACCACTCCTTCCCTTAGCATGAACTACCTCTTAGGAAACTCTGAGGTCTTTAGGCCAATGGGCATGGTTTTTATCTGCCCTCCCAGTTGGTCAAGACCTGCCTGTACATGCCTGATTCTCACTTTGACTCCAATGGGTACCTTAGGTATATCAATCAACACGTATTTCACTTCAATGCAGAAATACTACACATAATTCCATTTTAAAAGAAGCAAACAACTTTATCATTGTCTCCCAGCATTGTCTTAGGAGTTGCTTAAACACCTAACATCTTATAATTTCCAGTTCTTCCTCCTCTTTCTCTCTTTTTTTGTTCTAGGGATTGAACTCAGGGGAATATAACAACTGAGCAACATTCCAGCCCTTTTTATTTTTTTATTTTGAGATAGGATCTCACTAGGTTGTTTAGGCCTTGCTAAGTTTCTGAGGCTGGCTTTGAACTTTCAATCCTCTTGCCTCAGTCTCCTGAGTTGCTGGAATTACAGGCATGTAGCACTATGCCTGGTCATTTCTTTCTTTTCAAAGTCTAGCTAGCAACAAATAATTTAAACATTATTTAGTGTATGTAGTCATTAAAAGTTAAGCCATGGAGTAAGATAAAAACCTCCATTCCTTTCTGCATATGTGGCTTTGGGACATTTCCCTATTTTTCCTGAACCTTAATGTTCACATTTGCATGATGCGAACAAGAAAGGCACCTTCTCCCCTGGGCTGCTAGGAGGGTTAAGTGTGATAGGAATGCAGTGCCTGGTGCAGAATGAACACCCATTACATCTCAGCAATTTTATTTCATGCAGGTTATAAGGGTTATGCTGATGGAAAGCTGCCCTAGCACCATGGTCTCCTGTTGTCTGCCCCAAAGCTTATAAGATAAAGCAGAATCTATTAACTTGTGAAACTAGAAAACATCTGGTGTAGAGAGCAGCAATCACATCCCCCACTCAGCAATTCCACTGTGAATGTTGGCTCCATCCTTTCCTGGGCCACTGATCTTGGGCAGACAACTCAACCCCTGAGAGCTTTATATAATCTAACATTGAATAATTCCTTTCTCCCTTCCTTTTCTTTTATTTATTTATTTATGATCCTGGGGATTGAACCTAGGGGTGCTTAACCACTGAGCCACATCCCAGCCGTCTTTTAATTTTTTATTTTGAGACATGGTCTCTCGCTAAGTTGCTTAGGGCCTCACCAAGTTGTTGATGCTGGCCTGGAATTCCCCTCTTCCTGCCTTAGCCTCCTGAGTCATGGATTATAGGCATGTGCCACCATGCCTGACTTCTTTTCCATTTAAAGGAACCAATGGTATGGACACAAGTTTGGTGACTTAAATTTTCAAATGTATTTCTAAACTAGGCTTAATTAAGTCATAGTGTTTTAGAGCTAACCTCATAGATTGTAGAAACAGTTTAGTTCAACATTCTTGCTTTTATATTTTTAAAAACTAGATAATATAAAATTATATCATTTAGTAAAAATGATAGAATACATATTTGTGGTAAAACATCAAACACTGTGCATAGATTGAGAGCACATTCTATTTTTCTCCTTGACTTAAATCCCATTAACAGTTTGATGTGTAGCTTTAAAAAATTTTATTTGTTCATTTTAGATATACATGACAGCAGAATGTATTTTCACGTAGTATACATACATGTGTATAAACTCCCATTCTTGTGGTTGGTTGTACATGATGTGGAGTTATACTGGTCGTGTTTTCATATACGAACATCAGAAAGTTATGTCTGATTCATTCTACTGTCTTCCCTATTTCCATCTCCCTCTCCCTTTCCTTCATTCTCTTTTGTCTAATCCAATAAACTTCTATACTCCCCCCTGATTGTGTGTTAACATTTTTCAAGAAATTTTTTTACGTGTTCACATATACACATAATTATATAACTCAAACATACCCAACTTTATTGATATAGATGATAAGATATATGTAATGTATATACTTAACATATAGCTCTAAACTTTCTGCAACGAAGTCTTTTTCATTTCAATATTTTGAATCTAATTTTACTTAATGATTGCATAAAGCCAACTTATTTGCAAGATGATCAAACTATATTGATGTACCAATCATGGCCTTTTGCTTGTAAGGTTTAGCTATTCAAAACAATAAAGTAGCAAGTGCCCTTGTATACACATATTGTATGCACATAAGGGAATGTATTTATAGCATTTATAGAAGTGAACATTGGATGAATGGTTATGTACAGTCTACATTTTGATAGCTGCTGCTGAATTTTCCACTGAAAGATTGAATCAATGTGGCTTCTTATAATAGGGCATGAATGTGGATATTACTCCATATCATCTTTCACCAACTTCACATTTAAAAAATCATTTTAATTTTGCTAATTTGATGGGATAAAGATGATATCTCATTGTACTTTTCATTTGCATTTTCTTGAGTTATAGTGAGATTATGATTTTTAAAATGCAGTTAGGCCACTTAAGTTATTAGCCTATATATTTTATATATTTTTTGCTTAGACTTTTTCTTTATGATAGATATTGATCTTTAGTTTGTTATACGTGTTAATATAATTTCTTTCTATTTTAAAATTTGGCTTTTGGTGCCTTTTATTATTATTTCATCATAGAGAAGTATCTAAATGTTATAGAATTAAGACTTTTATGGTTTTAGCTTCTAAGTTTTGGGGTTTTTTAAATTAATTAATTTATTTTGATCTTTTATTGATTTTATTTTTTATTTTATTTAAAAATATTTATTTTTTAGTTGTAGTTGGACACATTACCTTTATTTTATTTATTTTTATGTGGTGCTGAGGATCGAACCCAGGGCCTTCCAAAAGCTAGGCGAGTGCTCTATCGCTGAGCTATAGCCCCAGCCCTGATTTTATGTTTTTTAAATACATGACAGCAGTGGTATGCATTACAATTCTTATTACACATATAGAGCACATTTTTTCGTATCTTTGTATATAAAGTATGTTCACATCAATACATGCACTTTTTTGCATTACAATTCTTTTTA